TGTAAATGTTTTGATATAAATCATTTTGTGAAAGGTTATTATTTGTTCAAAAATCAGAACTTGGGATCGGGAGAGGACTTACATGTCAAACTATGTTGTTCTATTTTATTTTTGGCCGTAGCAAGCGAGAAAAAGATTGGACGAGAAGGATTGGAAATGATCGGCATTTAATATGCATAGAGGATCCTTTTGAATTATCTCATGATCTGGGTCGAGTGGTAGACAAATCCAGCATCAAAGTTCTCAGAGAAGAGTTTGAACGTGCCGCTGACATTCTTCAGCATGACTCAAATCCATGTCTTAAACTATTCGAGCCCTATCTTCCAACTCCCAAGTAGAAAGAGGAGTTAGCTTTTTGGATATAAATTCTAGGGGAGATCACGAATGCTGAGGGTGTAAATCCTATCTTGCTCTTTCTCCTCTTTCTTCTTCCCTTTTCTGTTTTTTTTTTCCCGTTTTTGCCAAATATCATGATCAACCTCGGGCATGTCTATATGTGTATTTATCAGGCATTTGAATATTTTTACCTAATGTAAAGAACTTTTAGCCATCATGCTCTTAAATTCAGCGGGCAAAAATCATTGTTATGGAGAAAGAGTTTCTCAGTCATTTGAGCATGGCTGTTGAGTTGGATGCAACTCCTTTAGCAATGAAATTGTTATTGTTATACTACCTCTGATTTTTAATGTAAAACCTTGTTTGATTTTGATTTTAGTTCTAAATATAAGATTTTAATTCACTTTGTTTTTTATATTTATGTATTTTTTTTAAGGTAGTCCGTCTAACAATGATAATTCTAACCAATACACTTGATTAGCAAGGATATTTTAAAAAAAATTATATCTATTTATTACAAATAACTAATTTATTTTCTTAATCTCATCAAATTAATCAACTAACTCTTATAATTAAAACCGGAGGTAGTAATAAATTATTTTATAAATGTGAAATGCATCAATTCTTTAAATAATTATCAGTGTAATCATTTAAAAATAAAAAATACAGACCACATGTTATACCTAAAATTTTTATGCAATAATGGGAAGAAGAATTTTGATCTATGAAGTTGAGGATTACGAGTGCATTTTGGTAATTGATGAATATTGCCAGGTGTTCGCTTGTTTAAGGTGTCAATGTTCCATCCATTCGTCTCCTGAGTGAGGTTTTGAGAGTGAAAAGGGGAAAATTTAACATGAAAAATTCTAACATGATCCTGTTCGTAGGGAAATAATTGGCTTCCGTTGGAGAATGTTCTCATCAGGCAATCATATCTTAATTGAAGAAAAACAGAATACAAACTAGGCCTAACTGAGCTAGCCCACTTTTTGGTGAGTTAGGATTGTCTTAGGAGGCTGGTGGGTTAACTCAGCATGCTTTTTTTGTCATATGAACTGATTAAAAGTTCTGAAAAAAAAGAGTCTTATATCCAAGGGAAAAAGACAGAAAAATGCACCTTTAACTTCAAAAGCCCAAAAACGTCCGTCCAATTCCACAAATCCCATTTTGGTACCATGAGACCAAATTGGGATTATTATGTGAAAGGAAAAGACCACATTGCCCTTCATTTTAAATATTATTTTTAAAATATCACAGCCCCTACTGGCCGGCCGGTCACCGGAGCTCCGGCGACCAGCCGACAATTGGTCACCGGAGCTCCGTCGGTCAGATTTTTTTTTTTTTGAAAATTTTTACAACTTCAATATAACGGTTAACAACTTTTGTAATGCTATTAACAATTTCAGTATAGCAATTAACAACAGCTTTTCTGGGAAATTCAACAAACTCCGGCGACCGGAAACAATTATTTTGAAAATTTTTACAACTTCAATATAACCGTTAACAACTTTTGTAATACCATTCACAACTTCAATATAGCAATTAACAACAGGTTTTCTGGGAAATTCAATAAACTCCGGTGACCGGGAACAATTTTTTTGAAAATTTTTACAACTTCAATATAACGGTTAACAACTTTTGTACTGCTATTAACAACTTCAGTATAGCAATTAACAACAGCTTTTCTGGGAAATTCAACAAACTCCGGCGACCGGAAACAATTATTTTGAAAATTTTACAACTTCAATATAACCGTTAACAACTTTTGTAATGCCATTCACAACTTCAATATAACAATTAACAACAGGTTTTCTGGGAAATTCAATAAACTCCGGCGACCGGAAACAATTTTTTGAAAATTTTTACAACTTCAATATAACGGTTAACAACTTTTGTACTGCTATTAACAACTTCAATATAGCAATTAACAACAACAAACTCAGGCGACCGGAAACAATTTTTTTGAAAATTTTTACAATTTCAATATAACGGTTAATTACTTTTGTAAGCCTATTAACAACTTCAGTATAGCGGTTAACAACAGGTTTTTGAGTTTGTTAAAGGCATTACTGAAGTTATAAAAATGTCACTTTTTGAATTTAAAAACTTGTTAACTGCTATATCAAAGTTGTTAACCGTTATATTGGAGTTGTAAAAATTTTCAAAAAAACGTAATTGTTAACGTTATGCTGAAGTTGAAAATTTTTACAACTCCAATATAACGGTTAACAACTTTTATAATGCTATTAACAACTTTAATATAGCAATTAACAACAAGTTTTCTGGGAAATTCAACAAACTCCGGTGACCGGAAATAATTTTTTTGAAAATTTTTACAACTTCAATATAGCGGTTAACAATTTTTGTAAGCCTATTAACAACTTCAGTATAGCAGTTAACAACAGGTTTTTGAGTTTGTTAAAGGCATTACTGAAGTTATAAAAATGTCACTTTTTGAATTTAAAAACTTGTTGTTAACTGCTATATCAAAGTTGTTAACCGTTATATTGGAGTTATAAAAATTTTCAAAAAAACGTAATTGTTAACGTTATACTGAGTTGAAAATTTTTACAACTTCAATATAACGGTTAACAACTTTTATAATGCTATTAACAACTTCAATATAGCAATTAACAACAAGTTTTCTGAGAAATTCAACAAACTCTAGCGACCGGAAATAATTTTTTTGAAAATTTTTACAACTTCAATATAGCGGTTAACAACTTTTGTAACCCTATTAACAATTTCAGTATAGTGGTTAACAACAAATTTTTTTGAAAAATTATATAACTCAAAAACCTGTTGTTAACTGCTATACTGAAGTTGTTAATAGGGTTACAAAAGTTGTTAACCGTTATACTGAAGTTGTAAAAATTTTCAAAAAAAATTGTTTTCGGTCGCCGGAGTTTGTTGAATTTCCCAGAAAAGCTATTGTTAATTGCTATACTGAAATTGTTAATAGCAGTACAAAAGTTGTTAACCGTTATATTGAAGTTGTAAAAATTTTCAAAAAAAATTGTTTCCGGTCGCCGGAGTTTATTGAATTTCCCAGAAAACCTGTTGTTAAGCGCTATATTGAAGTTGTGAATGGTATTATAAAAGTTGTTAACGGTTATATTAAAGTTGTAAAAATTTTCAAAATAATTATTTCCGGTCGCCGGAGTTTGTTGAATTTCCCAGAAAAGCTGTTGTTAATTGCTATACTGAAGTTGTTAATAGCAGTACAAAAGTTGTTAACCGTTATATTGAAGTTGTAAAAATTTTCAAAAAAATTGTTTCCGGTTGCCGGAGTTTATTGAATTTCCCAGAAAACCTGTTGTTAATTGCTATATTGAAGTTGTGAATGGTATTACAAAAGTTGTTAACGGTTATATTGAAGTTGTAAAAATTTTCAAAATAATTGTTTCCGGTCGCCGGAGTTTGTTGAATTTCCCAGAAAAGCTGTTGTTAATTGCTATACTGAAGTTATTAATAGCATTACAAAAGTTGTTAACCGTTATATTGAAGTTGTAAAATTTTTCAAAAAAAAAAAATCCGACCGACGGAGTTCCGGTGACCAATTGTCGGCTGGTCGCCGGAGCTCCGGTGACCGGCCGGCCAGTAGGGGTTGTGATATTTTAAAAATAATATTTAAAATGAAGGGCAATGTGGTCTTTTCCTTTCACATAATAATCCCAATTTGGTCTCATGGTACCAAAATAGGATTTGTGGAATTGGGCGGACGTTTTTGGGCTTTTGAAGTTAAAGGTGCATTTTTCTGTCTTTTTTCCTATATCCAACATCAGTTTCTCCAAATATGGCATAATTAAACCTGAAAAACTTAACAACTATACGATTTAATTCAAAGAACAGCATAGTTACATGTAAAATTCATACATCTATAATGTTTTGCTTAAAATAAGACTAAAGTCTAAAAAGGATTTTCAGCCAAAATATATTTACACAAGTTTACTCTATTTTTAATGCTTCAGTTTCATGCTCATAATTACTAATTAACCACTATATCAAATATTTTCAACCAAAATACCGCTCTTATAACGTAAATGTTATTTAAAAATTATTTGGGTGGTACGAAAATAATCTTAATGCATATATATTTTAAACGTTTTTCTCATCATATTTTAATTCCTTTTACCCGTGTAAACTTATTTATTTACTAAATTTTTTAAGTTGTAATACATAAATTGACCAAAATAATATTTCAAACATACTTACATAATTTAATGATTGATCATGTTTCTACTCGTAACAAATGTAGCCCCTTCTCTTCTCTAAGTACTTCCGAGTTTTAAGTCTTCTACTTAGAGTGGGCATACCTAAGCCTATTGGCAACTCTTTGGGTTTGCCAGTTTTATGTTGGAAACATCTATAAAAATGTGGTTCAAGTCGCGGTAGAGGATACAGTACTATCTTAAAGAGTTATTGAGAAATGCGGCAATTCTTAGAGAAAATTGGGAACAAAACAATAAAGAACAAAGTGGAGAATTGGGGAATGGGCATAATATTGATTTCTTATCGAAAAGATCCTTGAATTCCTAATTTAGATAAATTCCTAATTCATTAAATTGGGGACGGAGAGCATACAATTAGATCAAGGGAAAATAAGTAATTTCAATTTTTTGGACTAGGTTATTAAGTTTAGCAAAACTGAAAGAAGGTTCTTGTATTCTACTAATATATTTTTCAATTCCACATGGAAAAGCTCTTTCATAGTATCAAAAACCCTCACTTCAAGCAAAAATCTAATCACTAATTGCACTCAAAACATCAACGAGAGCATTCCCTGCCTGCACCAAATATAAAAGAAACTACGCTTGAAACAACATATACTAGAAGAACCAAAATTGTGATTAACAGCAATCAGTGACATCCCTCTTTAATAAATAATCAATGGAATTACAATTGATGAATCAATAAAACTGGCATCGACCTGCAGCCCTTCCTATAAAAATCTGCTCAAGGTCTTCTCGTCACTTCCTTCAATCTAAACCAAATGAATAGGATCAAGAAAGGAAGCCTTATATCTTAATGCTTTAGATTATACTCCCTCCTTCAATTCTTCCACCATAAAAAAAGAAGAAAAAGGAAGAAAATTTACCTAACTTACAGAGCCGTGTCAGTGAGATGAGATTCAAAGTGTCCAATATCTCTTGGTGGCAACTAGAATTTTTTCTCCACCATGTGATTCAGGTTCTTGATCGTGTATTGTAGGCTTCCAACGTACTGCGTTGGCAACATGAGCAACTTTCTTGATTACATCTGGCGTGTCCCTCACCACCACGGTTCCTTCCGGCCGCAGCATCCGGTCTATTTCCACCAGCAAGTCAACAATATTGCACCTGTAATGAAGTCATTAGTTAATGTCAGTGATCTTGCTGATCATTCGGAACAAATCATGATAACAAATGGAAACCATGTTGAAGCTGCGCAGAGACAGCTTTTGCAACTTTGGATTGGACATGAGATCATTACAGGACAATGGCAATCTAGATGGCTCAGAGCTCACAAATAATTTAGTCACTATGTTACTTAAATCTTTCAGAGTAGACAGATGAGCATGCCATAATTATTTTAACGCTAAGCTACTTCAAATGAAATAGCCAATCGGTTGAAGTAGACCATTTTTTGAATTTAGAAGTTTACAATTTGACAAGAAACAAAACCTTCAAGTTCAATATGCGAAAAGATATAAAGAAATATATCTCAAAGCAGCAATTGCAAACAATAAGCTTAATACAAACAGATTATTAATTTTATGAAAATCAAATGAATTCGTTCCTTCAATAGCTAAATGGTTATTTCAAGAAGCACCCTCTAGCTCTCTCAACATGCAAGGGTACGTATGCAGGGAATGACCATGACATGACTTCACAAAAATTCATTAATGATGTCAATTAAAATCTCCAGATCAACATTTTAGAATGTAACTGTAGAAAATTACAAGCCAGTACCTGTTATTGCCAGAAGCTGGATCTTTTATGAGTGATTCAATGCTTGTCACATGGATCAGGTCATAAGAACGAGGATATGTTGAGAAAGGTTCACACCTGGAACAGTATCCTTACAAATTAGATCCACAAAAATCTTCTTTCGCAAATTGTAACGTGTTCAAAGGCACATAAACGCGGTTAAAAGATTAGAATCAGAATCCTGGCGAAAAGTCAAAAACATGTTAGAGATTAAGCACACTAGTTTTGATTTAATCACGATATCTAGGAAATTCTGACTCTTTTGATGCAGGGGACTTTATAAAAATCGCAATGATCACCCCATGTTATTCTTTTCTTGGAAAAGTATGACAGTTGGAATTCATCAACTAACTTTAATCAGCAGAGTTGGTTCCCTATTTACATAAAAGAAATAATAGGGAAAATGACAATCATATCAGACTGAGTATCTTATACAAGCAAAATAGCATCATCGCAATAGAATCATGCTATTTGACAGCCTTGCTAGGTTGGACTAACTAAAGGCCCAACTCAACATGACTTGAAGTTAGATTGCATTGAATTGGTTTCACTATGTAAGAAACCTGAATTGAATATTTGATATTTGATCTTGTTAGTTAAATTTTCAATCGTATAGTCCTAACTTTTAAAATCAATATAAAATCTAAAATCCATAGAGACTCGCATTACTCAAGCTATAATGATACTCTTCTCAAACCCCATGCATTTTTAACTCGGGCTTTCTTCACACATTTCATTAGGCTTTGTGTGACCTTTTCTTCCGGTAATTAATTCAATATTTTTCTACAAATTTCAATAGAGTCTTCAGTTATCATCTTTCCCATGCATCGCACAGGGTAAAGATATCTAGCTATAGGTAATATATTTTATTTCACTTTTGTTTGGCCTGTCTGCAATCAACTACCCTACAGATTAAAAATTTGAAATTTGATATATTGTGGTTCTTATCATCGATACTTTTAACACCCCATCTCAATTCCCCTAATAAATCCCTAATTTCCTATGTATGAAAAAATAAAATCCTTTCCTCTCCCAGTTGAAATACCTGATTTCCTAGAACAATAAAAAGCATCCCAAATTTTGCCATAAAATGCCAATTTTCATATAAAATCCCTGATTTGCTATACAACGAAGACCTAATATACGAGACTGATTGAATTAATAGTTAGCAGATGCGTGTTAGGACAGCTATTAACTGTTAAGAATTCTATTAGTTCTGTTGCAAGGGATTCTCTTAGAAGGAGTCGAGTAATTTGTACTATTGGAGATTATGGGATTATGCCAATTCAAACATACTGTGTAAAATATAAATTTAAGAAATTCGTCAAATTAAGATACATAGTGCAGATCAGAAAGCCAAATCCCCACAAAATTCAGTATTACAATGAAATAACGAGAAATAAAAAATCTAGACAGCAGTTAACGATAGTGCAACACAACCAGACCAACTCATTCTCCAAAAAGATAAATTGAAGTCTAATCAATTTCTCATGTGTCATTCTAGGTTTCTGCTTAAAAATAGAGAGTTCTGCAACTACGTTCTCAAAAATCAAGTTACATCAAGCTGTGATATATTTGACTTTATACCATAAAGAATATCCGATATTTGTATGCAATTATTTAATTTCAAAATACTCCTCTGGTCCTCTTTATAGGGCAGAGAAAGAAGGAATTTTTTAATCCCGTACAAGGCAGAGAGAAATTTTTCATATGAATGTATAATTTATCCTTCATTTATTATCTTCTTGACTTAGTTTTCATGAGGTATAAATAGAACTAGAGGAGTAACTTGATTTTGTCATATCAGCTTAGATTGCATTAATCTATGTGCCTGAATCATAGATCATATCATTTTCTTAAATGTTGGAGAATGTGAGTCTAAAGATGTGAAAAGATTGTGCTCCATTGCATGTGACATTTAACAGCATTTTCACTTTTATCATCATTCAGAATCTTTTTAACAATTAATTTTTTATTGCCCAAGACAATGTCTTGAGCTTTTACTATCATATAATTATATTACAGTAAGATAATTATATGTTAAAGTTTTATTTGTGTTTGGTTGTTAGGCTTTTATTATGACGTCATATTTTTTTCAAATATGTAAAATTCTTATTACTTATTTCCTTGGGATTTTGGATGTTGTACGCTAGCACTCCAATCCAACTCCTATTTGTTTGTGATTCAATGAATAAGAATCATGGCATTTCTAAACTCTGAAATTCTTCAATAACTAATGCATAAATTTTTCAGCTATAACTCACCAATCATGATAAACTCCGATAAGACCTCTATCAAATATAAGATCAAGAGTGTATGGTTTGCGAGGTGGAACAACGTTCATTACCCACACTGGGTCAGATGCTACTGCTGATGCAAAACCTCCAAAGAACGCATTCATGTCCATGACATTGCGGACTGCCGGGGTACCTAACTTTAGATTCAGAGAATTCTTATAGTAAGCAACCCTCCTCACCCACCTCCTGGAATCAGCCTCAAACACATCAGCACTGTTTTTCATGATCGTGGCTCTTGGAGGTGCTGCAGTGAGCCTTGCCGGCCACTTGTGGATTCTCCCAACAGCATAGTCTCCTTTGACAGAATCTGTATTGCTGACACATTTTTTCAACTTGAAGTACCTGCAAAATAACACAATCCCAAATAACTATTATAAGTAATCTTTTAACAAAATAAACTTCACCGGAGTGCTAACATTATGATAGGGTGAATCAAATTTAAAACAGTCCAGCTAATACATGAGACCGCTGACAAGAAAATGACAAAAGAAAATCTTTGAACAAAATAAAGTTCACCCAGTGCTAACACTATGATAGGGTGAATCAAATTTAGAATACTCCAGCTAACACAGTAGATCTCTGCCACGAGAATCAAAAATAAGAGGAAGAATAACTCCTCAAGTCTGATGCAAATTACCAAGCAGAATTTGGGTCATCAGAGCCGTCACATAACTCAAGGCCAAATTCATTTTGGTTGGGCATGCATGAATTTCCAACTGGCTTTTTCCAGATCACTGTGTTACCATCAACAGCTATGAGCTCATAACACAGAGCTCTGGCCACAGCCTGCAGATCTGACCATTCTTTATCTTGTTTAGGCCACTGCACTGGGGGACCAGATATGACTAAGTATCCACTAGGGCGAAGTAATCTATCCACTTCAATAAAATAAGTTGCATCTGCAAGGCAGATCTTCCGCATTAGAGAAGTGGCTATTGTTTAGCATATTATAAGATTTAAAAAGGTAGGCCAGAATGAAGAGATTACTGTAGGCTGTAAAAGGAATTAAACACCGAGAACAATGCACCAAGTCAAATGCAAATGCAGGAAATGGAAGTCTGCGAGTGCCAAGCATGGCGACCATTGCTGGTATTCCTCTTTCGAGAGCAAATTGTATTTGTGATTTATGTGAATCTCTTGGAGCAAAGGACATAGTTAAAATGTCTCGAGCTAGCAAATACCCTCCAAAACTAGCAACCTATGAAATGATAGATACACGTACATGTTAAACAATAATACGTTATTTTGGCCCAAAGGAATAAAAAACAATAAGAAGTTAAATAGGAGAAAAGCTCCTACCCCACACCCCATATCAAGAGCAGTCCTCAGAATACCACTTTTTATTGGGATGTACTGACCAAGTTTTTCAATATACTGAATGGCTCCATCTGGAAACATTGTACCACCACCAGGAAAAATAAAATGTTGGCCTTCGCGTTTCATCCATCCTTGGTGACCTTTCCTATCTGCAATCTTGTCATGTGGCATATTGCTATGCCGTATCTGCACAAAGGTAGAAGTGGTTTTATCAGTGAATTACTAATTAAGAAAATATAAGATATCTTGTTGAAATTAAGTCCCCAGTGAATATAGAAGAGGAAAAGGATGAGGCAAAGAGGGGGCGAAAGTAATCTACATTGGTCTTCCTCATAATTTTCAATTAAGAGAAACCTGTTACCAAAAGTGGCATATAAATTTATCACGTATCAGGATAAGTTACTGGTTTTAGATATTTTGCTTAGAGATCTTTTAGCCACTCTGACTCACCATAGAATCTGGTCTCTCTAATTTGTTATTTAAGACAGATACGACGCAGGTATCATTCTATTAAGTATGCATTAAATTACTTTTAGATTGTACTGCGCAGCATTTTTCGTCATGGCATGTGGTGTACATCTCGTGCCACGGATCTTTGGACGTCACTACATCTATGGCGTTGCATGTGTCATTTGAAGCGCAATGACTAGTGTTATCAGTGCCATTGTGCATGGCATGCATCGCATGGCTCGCAAGCAATTAGATTATCGCCCTTTAGTCAAGGTCCCCCCCCCCCCCCCCAAAAAAAAAAAATCTAACCCTTCTCCATATGGAAGCCTCTGATGGCTCCTTCACTTCAGCCTCTTCTTCAATTCTGTTCCATCTACATCTTTCCGTTCTTTTACCCATCCACTCTCTGATTTCACGGTCCCACCCCTACCTTCTCTTTTCTTCACTTCTTTCTGTCGCCATTTGTTCCTTTCTTGCTATACTTCTCTGTTAGGCTCATGGATACACTTTAAGCTGATATGGTAGTTTATGTCATAGTGAGTGACTGCGTGTGTGGTTAAGTTCTTTTATTAATTCACCCACCTTAATGCTTATATTTCCGGAAACATATCCGAAAACTCTCAAGAGACCACAAATATCTAAATAGCAAGTTATAAATTTTGCTGTAGTAACAGGATTCACTCGTAGTACTCATACCAGTGCTTGTGTTCTGTAATTATTTGGACTTACACACGCATGTCTTGTTTTACTTGACATTTCAGCATTTACTCCGGATCCAAACAATCTAATACTTATACCTTGTGCAAGCTCTCCGGCCACTGCACTGGAATCTTGTAGCCTTCAGGCGGGGGAATCAGACAAAGCGGCGTCGCCTCTGGCCGCGGGCAATGCCTCTCTCTGTAGTAATTCATTTCTCTACTGAGGTGACTGTTCAATCTCGGGTCCTCGCATGGCATGTGGTCCACCGCATCCGGGGGGCATGCCTCAATAGTTCGCTGCTCACCGGCCTCGATGGCCGCAATGAGGCGGTGGCGCTGCCGTGGATCAGAGTTAGATAAAAGAAGCGTCTGGCGACCAGAGGCGGCAAGCGAATCCCCGAGAGGTGTGAAGATGAGGACGAAGAAGAGAAATATGAATCCAAAAAACCCCGCAGTTACTATGTCCAAGAGCCGCCATTGACGCGGATTACGCTTGGAAGGAGGCAAATTCGACTGGCCCATCGAAAAAAGTGATTGGATCTGATCAAACGCGCATATGGGTTAGGGATTTCAAAGGAGTTTGAATTGAAGGATCGCGGAGTTTATACAAATTGAGAAGAATGCTCAGAGGTTCTACCTATGATTGAAAATAGACAGAAAGGAAATGTGACCCTCAATGGTGTGGGCTGGTTTCAGAAGTGTGGAGTAGCGGTAGATCTAAGGCGAAGGTTCTGAGATTCTAATCATTCTATACGTACTCAAATAGTCAGATTTTGTTTGCAATACGGCAGCGGATCTTTGAAGGAAAACTTAGAGTTTGATCGATGTCTTTATTTATATGTTGGCCGGGAAAAAAAAAAAAACAATGTGTTTAGATACAGTGGCTTACTCTTTTTTATAATTTATCTTTAACATGTTTTATTAAATTTTAAATTTTATTAATTCTTATTTAAAATTTAATAACTTTTTAAATTTATTTTTATTTAATATATATATTATATCTTGTGTAAATAAAATCAATACAATAATAAATAAAAAGTAAAATTTACATCCATACAAAAAGAATTCCTCTCAGCATCTTATAAGTAAGACCAAAAAATATCTTCATGAATAGGATCGGAGAAATTCATATATATATATGCTATAAAAGTTTTAGAGGGTATTTGGAATGCCCCAAAAAATACTTTTAATAAGTGCTTTCATGTAAATTGAGATAAAATTTCTCCCACATACTTACTTCATGCTCCTCTGGTTCTATTTATAGGAAAGAGATAGAAGATATTTTTTGGTCCATTTATAGGACACTAAGATAAATTTCTTGTGTGTATGTATAATTTTACTTTTCATTTATTATTGTATTAATTTTATTTATATAAGGTATAATGTCTATTAAATAAAGATAAAGTTGGAAAGTTATCGAATTTTAAATGAAAGTTAATAAAGTTTAAGTTCTTAGTCTATGTGAAACATATTAGAAGTGACTTATAAATAAGATTAGAGGAGTATAACATAAAATCACTTTTAAAATCATACTTTTGTTTCTATCTAAGTACTCCCTTAAGTCAGGACCATCAATCCCTCGACAGATGCAGAAAAAAAAAAATACACGCACGCACGCACAAATGATGGCAAAACTTCTAAAATCATCTAGATGCTATTGAAAATTTGAAATGTTGTATAATTTATGCTACTTATCCTTTTTTATTTTTTTGCGTAAGCACCCAGTATCCTGAATTAGGCTATTTTTTAGGTACAACAACAGATTTAAACTAATCCGGATCAAGACATGACAGGAACTATTAAAGTTGACACCTCCTGACTCTTAAGATGCTGCATTTTCACACCTCGAGTTCAAAATTCTAGTTATCCTCTTTAATAATAAATTATTCTGTCCCTGTTTTTTTTTTTTTCCACTGACTAGACTTGTAGTTTCTATATACATATTTATTATTTCACTTACTAAAGTTTTAAGATGCAGAAAGGCTTTTTTGTTTTTTAGCCATCATTTTATATTTGTAATTTAAAATTCAATCTCTTTAAACAATTATATTGATTCAGGAATCTATTTTGCTATTTCATATTTTCAAAACTCTTTTCATTTTCCTAATGGATCCGGCAAAAACAAATTAATTTACTATGATCATATATTGTATATTGTATGTTGCTATGTTACTATGTCAATCAAATCAGAAATATGGAGTCATCTCTCATTGATATTATTAAGGTTGTGTGAAAACGCATAAAAGGCTTTATTCATTTCCCTTTTTTGAATAAAAATGACAATTATATTATATTACTGCTTCAGTTCCTTAATATAAAAGCTAATTTAAATTTTAATTTGGTCATAAATATAAAATCCTAATTTATGTTGTCTGTAATATTTATTCATTTTTTTTCAAAGTAATCCTTATAATATTTGTATATGTTTAAGGTTCCATCAAATGATAATTCTAACTAATATACATGATCAGCAAGAGTATTTTAAGGAAGACAACACCTATTTATTACAAATAAGTAATTTAACAAAGATTTCTAATCTAATTGAATTAGTCAACTAACTTTTATATTAAGGACAAAAATAATAGTAATAAGCCGGTTAAAAGACCCAAAAAAAAAAAAAAAGCCTCCCGTGGGGGTATCTGGATCCACCCAGGCTGGAAAATAAAAGCAGCGATGTCTAGACGATAAACAAACGATTTGGTCCAAAAAGAAGATAATACCTCCTCTTCTATATAAAAACTAATTTAATATTTAATTTAGTTTTAAATATAGGATTCCAATCTATTTTGTCTATCATATTTAGTTATTTTTTTCAAGATAATCCTTATATTAATTGACATATTAAAAATTTCATCAAATAGTAGTTCTATCTAATGCACATTATTAGCAAGAGTATTTTAAAGAAGATAATACATATTTCTTATAAATAAATAACTTAATTAATTTTCTCAATCTACTTAAATTAATCAACTAACTATTATATATGTTTGAACGATAAATATGCAGTTGGAATGAATGGAATTATACAAAATGGTTTTACATGCATTTGGTATACTGATTGTCTTCAATTCTTGATAATATTACTTCTAACGCTGCTTGATTTTGAATGGAGAAATAAAATTAGCGTACGCAATGGAGAGATGATAACGATGAGGAAGAAGATCGCAGTCCATTTATGCAGACCAATATGCCGAAGAAAGGAGAGCAAAGCCAAACCGATAGCACACATTTAAAGTTTCATGAAGCAGTCAAGCATAAAAAACCTCATAATCATCTAAAAATTAGAGCATTAGTTCGCAAGGGAGGGATTCTTAGAAAATAAATGAACTAGATATCCTAATTTGTTAGGGTTTGATTCAATTAAACGAGACAACGCATTTTACTATAATAAAAGTACTAAGCACCGAGTAATGCATAAAATTAATAATAATACCGTGATAAATAAGTTTAACCATTACTGATCAGTGGCAGTGCTAATATGAACCCCGTAACCACGGAATGCAATGGGGATCAGCATGAATTTTGAAATTGATGTTTACCGCATCTGGCCCCGCTGCTCATAAGCCGCCGCAGGCTTGAGGGATAACAGAAGTTTCCTTGGCTAATTGGTGCTTTTTATTTTTCATGGCCCAAAAAAAAAAACACAAGAAGAAGAAGAAAATGGAGAAACGGCATGACGCTACGTCAGATCAAATGCCCAGGACGAACCAATGAAATAGAATTGGGAGATGGCTTGGGGGGGGCGTAAATTGTAAAATAGAATGAAATTAAAAATAAAAAAATGAAGTCAAAAGTTGAAAGAAAAGAAGATAAAAATGGCGGGAGTCAGGAGAGAGGGGGCGGGGGAGCAGTCCAATAGGGCTTGAAGGCGGAGAGGATCTTGTGGCGGTGAAGAGGGCCGTCCTCATGGTCAGCTACAGTCGTCTGCCACCCCACCGCCTCCGCCACGGTCTTCACCCGCATCACCACATCCACGTCATCTCTCACTATCACGCTTCCCCTCGGCCGCAGTACCCTGTCCATCTCCAACACTATCTCTTCCGTTGGACATCTGCCATGCATTCATTCATTCATCCATTCATCATAACATAGATCATGATATATATATAAATATATATATATAACAATGATCACCTACCTGTCTCTGTACAGGCTGAAAACGCCAGCGGCATGAATGAAGTCGTAGGTTCTCGGGTAAGTGGACATGGCTTCGCACCTGTCACGCACTTACACACAGCATGAGCTCATGGATATGTGAGTGTGTATGTATATATATGGCCGGCCGCCACACTTCAATTAAATTAATGAGAGCAATACGACAAGAGCGTGCGTATACATACCAGTTGTGGTAGGTGCCGATCAAGCCGCGCTCATAAATGACGCCCAGCGTGTTGGGCTCTGCCTCCACGGGGACCACATTCATCACCCACACGGGATCGCCGCCCCATGCCAATGCCGCACCGAAGCCTCCCAGGTGAGAGTTCATATCCAGCACGTTCCTGTACCTCCCCGCTTCCGCCAGCTGAGAATCCACTCTCTTGTACCGTCTCACCCTCTCTTTCCACACCTCCCTGTCTCTTTTGAACATCTCTCCCGTTATTCCTCTCACGCTCCCGCTTCTAATCCTTGGCGGTATTGAGTTCAGCCTCTCTGGCCATTTCGCCACCTCTCCCCCGCTCACCTCTTTTATGCCTGATACTTCCGGCAGTGGCGTCAGGCAGGTCTCGAGTTTAGTGTACCTGCAGTTTCGGTCCACATCATCAGAGTGAGATGACTTAATTATTAAAGGCCCATTGTTGCAATATTCTCATCCATTCTGACCAAATTACCAAGCCTTGTCCGCATCCTGCGAGCCACAGAATGGGCGGTTCCTGAAGAGTCTTCTTGTGATTTTGCAGTGAACGTGATTGGTGGGCTTCTGCCATATTGCCAGATCCCCCTTCTCAACCAATTTCTTCCAGCACAGTGATTTGGCCACCGCCTCGATGCCGTCCTGTTCTTGCTGAAGACTGTCGCGAGTCCTGTCCCAGCCTTTCCAGTGCCTGCGCCAGTTGATGGGCGGCCCCGACAGAATCCAGTACCCGCCGGGACGCAGCACTCGGTCCACTTCCGTCAGGTAGATGCCGTCTGCTCCGCCGTTCAGGGCAGTCATCTGAGTTAGAATATAATAGAGTGGAAGGATGATGGTGAGTGGGATTTTGGGAGGATGTACCGTGTTGGCCCCAGGGAATGAGGCAGCGAGAGCAGTGAGCCATGTCGAAGGATCTGGAAGGGTAAGGAAGTCGGATAGAGGCCAGAACTCCAATCAGGGCGGGCACTCCTCGTTCCAGAGCGAATTGGACCTGAGCCTCGTGCGTGTCTCTGGGTGCAAACGATACTGCCAGTATGTTACGAGACATTAGGTGTGCTCCCCAGCTTGCCACCTGAATCAGTGAAGATCATGTTATCATGCATGCGGAATTAATGGAGAAAGAAAAATATAAAATGAATTAATGGCTTTGCATCAGTCAGTTTAAGTGCTAATATAAAAATTGATAGCGAATCACATATCCCCTGATATTGCCGCAATGGGTCTTGAACTAATTAATTGGATTGATTGAAATGATTTTGAGGAATTTTTAATTGATTCTTTTTTTATTAGCAGGACACAAAAATACAAAAGCAGCAAAATCTAAAGAATGATAATTGCACAAGAAGAAGAATGAGG